ACTGACATACTAACTAGTCAATGATCAAACCTTTGTATCTATGTAATAATAACTGTACGGAAATAGCAAGGATTACCAAACAAACCGTCCCTAAACCCTAAACCCTAAACCCTGAACCCTGAACTCTACACCCTAAGCCCTAAACCTAGGAACAAGGTTTTCAACAGACGAAACCCTGAACTAAGGTTGGGGGTCTTTGGCCGTTCTCAGGGCTCCTGTTCGGGTTTAAGGGTTTAGGGTTTAGTATAGGGGCCTTGAATAATTAGAAGAGGGTTTTTTTTTGGGGGTTCCTCATTATAACTAAAGCATAGTAGACCCCAAAGCCCTAAACCTTAAACCCTAAAACCAATAGACCCCAAAACCCTATTCTAATTATGAAGGCCCCTGCATTCGGTTCCTCTTCTGGGGCTCTCCAAGGCTCTCGGAATGGACCCTCGCTCCCAATGCCTTTACAGAAAAAGTAGGGTTTCGGGTTTCGGGTCTCGGGTTTCGAGTTTCCGGTCTCGGGTTTAGGGTTTCAGGTTTACGCTTTGTTTAGGGTTGTTCATATCTGGGAGAGATCCCACACGGAGCTCACCGACTGCTCATGGCGTTTTGGGTCTAGGGTTGGGGGGGGGGGGTGGTAAGGTTCCGGGCTTCGGGGGTCAAACCCTAAACCCCTAGATGCCAAAACCCCCTACGCCTCCAACGCCTACATCAGGTCCCCCGGCAGCGCGCTGTGCCCAGAGATCTTCGCCCAGAACTGGGGCTTGAGGAAGGAGCACTACACAGGACCGTCGGAGCTCCCTAAGACCCTAAAACGTAAACCTTACCCGAAAGGCCTAAAATAAACCCTTAAACCCCTAAACCCTAATCCCTAATAAACCCTAAACGCTAAACCTTAAGCTCTGCACCCGAAAGGCTTTAAATCCAAAGCCCAAAACCCTGAAACCCTATAAAGGCCCTTCTTCCCCAAAACCCTCAAGACGCTAAAGGCTCAACGTAGGAACCTGATTAAGAAACCCTGGCCTGTAACCCTCAGAATATTCGGATGCACAGTAGGAGCCCTAATAAAGACCCAACGTTTCTTAATCAGGTTCCCAAATAGTATAATGCACTTCTAAGTAATATTCAGGCCCCTAACCTCTAAACCCTTTTAACTATAGTAGCCCATATAGAGCCGGTTAAGGAACCCGTGTGGAGACTGGGATGCCATATTACGGCCCCAGACCCTAACCTCCTCTAAGGGCCTTTCAGGCTTCCCTGCAGGTTTTTGCCTGTGGCTAAGAAGCTTCTTCTCGCGATTAGCTGGCTGAATCTGTTGGGTGTAGGGCTTTGGGGTTTTGGTTTGAGGGTTTAGGTCTTAGGGTTAGGTTTAGGTGTTAGTGTTTAAGGCTTAGGGTTTAGGGTTTAGGGCATGTCATGTACAAACTGGAAGATAGTTACAAGACCACAGCAGCCTAGTGCTTTCCAAGTGAACCTTGCGTAGGCGCAAGCCAGGTTCTTTTGGGGGTATATTCCCAAACCCTAAACCCTAAACCCTATTTCACCCCCACTTTTGCGAGCCATGGCTCTGATCTTCGGCCTGACAGCCTTGGAGGTGAACACCCAGCTCATATTGAGCGTGTGCATTATCAGCACCATGGTTGCAGACATGATGGATCAGCCCTATGCCAGGTCCTTGGTGCAGTGTGATGTCCCCGTGAACACGACGGAAGGTGCTGAGTTCTCCGGCTCGAAGCTGTGTGGGAATCGATTGCATGTGATTGGCGTAGGGGCGGAGGTGTCTGGATGGGGGCAGAGCTTTGGCAATGCCGGCCGCCTTTTCATCACCCTCTTCTTGAGCGGCTTGGCAGATTACGGGCGGAGGCGTGCGGCTTTGCTGGGCCAGTTCCTGGCCACCTTGTCTGCTGTTCCTGGGCTCTTGCTAGGGGAATGTAGTTGAGTTCGGTTGCATGTCAGGGACCTATAGCAAAAGGAACAGGGTTTCCTGACTACCCTAAACCCTAAACCCTAAACCCTAAACCCTAAACCCTAAACCCCTAAACCCTAAAGCTCCTTAGCAAGAGCCCAGGTCCTCTTTGCTTCGGCTCAGTTCTTGCCCACAAGCCTGAGCTTTCCGTCTTACATCCTCGGGAAGGGCCTGCAAGGAATGAGTGGCCTTGGCATCTTGCAGGAGATCGTCACCGGTTTAGGGTTTAGGGTTTAGGGTTTGGCATTGGCATCTTGCAGGAGATCATCACCGGTTTAGGGTTTAGGGCCTAGGGTTTAGGGTTTGGCATTGGCATCTTGCAGGAGATCATCACCGGGGATGTGGCGCTTCAGCTCAACGACACGGTGGCTGTCTATGGTCGACGGCAGGTTCTTCACAGCTGCATCCTTGTGATGATCGTTCCCATCAACTTGTATGTGCAGTGGGTGGAGATGACAGACTTCACCTACATTTCGGCTGTGGTGGTGGTCTTGAACCTCTCGGCCCTGACTTTGTTGAGTCTCTTCTTCCCGGAGACGCTGACTTCCAAGAAGGAGAAGAAGGACATCCGGCAATTCTCCATCCTAGGGCTGGTCAAGGATGAGATACAAAACTTTCGCAGCCTCATCCAGAGCCATGACTACATCAGCTTAAGGATGGCGGAGGAGGTGGTGAGCAAGATGGCTGCCCTGGATGCCATTGGCCTAGCCTTTCTGATGGCGAACTTCAACTTCTCCCAATTTGATGCGCTGGTCTTCACCAGTCTGCCCGCGATCCTTGGAGGTGTCTCCTTGAGTTGGGTCGTGCCCAGGATGTGCAGACAGTTTGGGCACAAGATAGTGATGAAGTCCCTTGGTTCACCAATATCCAACCTTTAGGTTTTTAGGTTTTTGGGGTTCTTATAATTTAGTAGTACTCTGAAAGTTTAACCTTTTATTTCCTTGGGGAAGTAAGGTCCTGCATCCTCTACTACCGGCTTTCTGGGTGCATCCTTGCCTTCCTCCAGCCTTTCAGTTCCTTTGGCTGATTTGTGGGAACTTAACTTAAGCTGCCATAATGGGGATCTTTAGCAAACAGTAGGATTTACGGTTTTAGGGTTTAGGGTTTAGGGTTTAGGAATTTACGTTCTTGAGCAAGAATCCAGGTTTCCTAGGCATCCCAATGCCTTTGATCGGCTTGGCCTTGCACCTTCCGCTGTCTGGCATACAAGCCGTGGGGCAGGGTATTGAGATCCGCCTGGTCCAACAGGAGAACAATGCCAAGTTCCAGGCGTGACACAGTCATGAATATCTCGGACTGTTATAAAGTTGTTTCATGGACCCTCTACGACGTCTCATGGTTTGAGAAAGGGTTTGTGAGGGTTGTGTAGGCTCTCAAAGGCTCCAAGAGCTTCTGTGGCAGGGCTCTTGGTCAGATTCGACTTTGAAGTTACAACCTCCCACCCAAAACCTAAAGCCTAAATCCCAAGCCCTATAAACTTCAAACCCCAAGCCCTAAATCCCAAACCCTGAACCCTCAAAACATAAACTCCAAACCCCAAGCTCTAAACCCCAAGGCCAGAAAATAGCAAGCTTCAAGCCCTAAACCCTAAACCCTAAACCCCTACGCCCTACTCAAAGGCCATGTGTCAGATGCTGGGCTTCCTCTGCGGCTCCATCACCAGCGGACTCTACCCCCAACTCTTCAACGCGGAGGCGAGAAAAGTGGGTTTTTTACCCTAAAGCCCTAAACCCTCAACCCTAAACCCCTGAACCCCTAAAACCCCTAAACCCTAAAACCCCTGAATCCGAAATCTTAAACCCTAAAAAAACCCTAAACCCTAAACCCCTGAACTCTAAACCCCTAAACCCTAAACTCTATACCCTAAAACCCCTAAAGCCCCTGGGTTGGGGGCCTGAAAAGCTGGTGCAAAGGTGGGTAAGATCAAAGATCCGCGATTCTGTGGACTGTTGTTTAGGGTTTAGGGTGTAGGGTTTAGGGTCCCGAAACCTACATCCCTCTTGAAGCATCCCTATTTGGGGGACTTCCAACCTACCTTCATCCCATCTTTCGAGCTTTGTAAGGCGAGCACCTACGGCGGGAAGGTTCTCCCCTACGCGGTCTCAGCTTTCATCAACGCGCTCAGCATCCCAGTGCTCCTCAGATTCTGTACAAGAGCTTTATGTATCAGCGTGATTCAAGATGGCAGGTCGGCATTAATTACGATGATGATGGCAACTTGACTTAGTTGGCTCCTCAAACAGAGCTAAGGTTCCTGTTCTTAACTGGCCCCATGATGCTGGCAGAATGCGAGAAGGTGGACAAAGAAGCGACTGCAAAGGCAGGATTTGAACAGCTTTGCGCTAAGGGATGTGGGGGTTTCTCGAAACTAGGGGTCCTTGATGGCATCCGCTATCCTCTAAGTCACTTTGCTCCGAAACTCACATTTAAAGTATGGGGGATGGCATCTTCCTTGCGCCGAAACGACAAGTCCGTAAGCAATGCTCCGAATCAGGCGCTCTAACGAAGCCGGCGACTGCGATCAGGAGGCCTTCATGCAAGGAGGATCTTGAGGCAGGACATCTCGAGACAAGACTGGCGAAGATCGCGGCGTTGCCCGAAGGGGTCCTGCGTGTACGGTAATTTCACGAAGAGAATGCTACCCAACATCTTCTTGCTCTTTTTCCTACCGAATGCTGCAAGCAACACTAAGCTCCTCAGAGCGTCCTCGCTCGTGGCGCATTTGCCCGTCGTGTGCAAGCCCGCGCCGCGATCCCTTCGGGAACCAGGGGCAAGATTCCGGCTAGGGTTTAGGGTTTAGGG